TTTTAGTGAAAATGCAAGCCATTCGAGAAATAATTAACATAAATGGAGTGATATGGGCTGCTTAAAATTTGTATGAAGAAAGATTTTGCGTTTGCGACGATAATGTTTGTTGATGATTTTTAATAATGCATATAATCTTCAAGAGTAATAAATCGATTAAAATCTCTATAAGAGAAAAATATTGGTTTACATTTACCATAGAGAATGGAGGATTCGTTGTAGGGTTTTGTTTATTTGCTTTTTTCTTGCATAGATTATTTATATTTTGCTTCGCTAGTCGTTTCAGCGAAAATTCGTCATTACTCAAATGAATACTTAATTATTTAAAAAAAAAAGTATAAGTAAAATAGACTTTATGTTTTATTTAAAACGTATAGTTTTCCAAGTACATTGAAAGAAAACGCCGTAGATTCATATCTATTAGTATGATACGAAAAGCGGTTCGATCACCGATATTTGTGAAGCACCTCAAATTAAATGGAAGATCACGAAATATAAAGCTGAAATTTGGCTCAGGAAAACAAATAGGTATTATTTATTGTGCTATTTTTTTCCGTGAACCAAATAACAGGATTATTATTATGCTGGATAACTTATATCATATAAATTAATAATAAAAATAAATAAATATCATATTATTATATAAATATAAGGACAAGTATTGTTTAAAGTACTTGTACCTTCCATCGCTTATTTTTTTAATGACTTTCAAAATATCGAGTAAAATTTGTGGTAATTTTGCGTGATTATGTTGTCAATTCTGTTTCGCATTTATTTTGTTACTAAATTAAAATAATTTCAATCTAATTTGTCTATTAAATATGTTGTCGTTAATCGATGTGTTTGATTACGATTGGAGTCGCTAAAATTTTTTCGCCGAGTAAAATTTTATCTTTTTTTTTAAACCACTGAGGTGGCAAACAAGCATACGGCCCACCTGATGGTAAGCGGTTACCGTAGCCTATGAACACCTGTAATACTAGAGGTATTACGTGTGCGTTGCCGACCCTAAAGAAATCTCTTTCCCTCCTTTTGAACAACCCCATGCTGTAGTCTCTTGGGAAAACCTCGGCAGGGAGCTCATTCCACAACTTGAGTGTTTGTGGGAGGAAACATCTCTGAAACCACGCAGCACGCGATCATTGAGGCTGTAGGACATTTACCAGAGGGAGACTTTGTACAAAAGTCGATTGCTTGGGTACCTCTGTCCCATTCGTGTTTCAACCGTGAAGCAGTTGTGTTTGCATGGCTGTGTTTCGGTTTGAAGGGTGGGATATGGCGTGAATTTACTGGGTACAGAGGAATAACACCTGAGTCCTCAGGAATGGCAACGCATGGGGGGTATCATGGGCGAAACAGTATACTCTGTTATGTCCATGGTACTGCTCATGTCTATAGGCGACGGTTACCACTTTCCATCAGGTGGGCCGTCAGCTTGTTTGCCATTCTAAGTTCTATAAAAAAAAAAAAAAAAAGGATGAACTCTCTGTCGTTGGCGAGCCGTACGATGGTAGGAAGTGGCTGTGGACATCATATTGAACTGTTATGGAAGCACTTCCAGTATGTGGCACGTCTGGTGATCTTAAATCAATGTAGTTTTATATCTGTGTGTTAAGGTCGCTATGGTAACTAGATGTTCATATATGGTTGTTGATTCTAACATAAAATATATTATTCTTGGCTGATTCTCTTTAATATGAAAAATTCCTCTGAGCACAATCCATTGTACAGGCGGTAGAACACGCAGAGTGAGGCAAAATCTCTCCTAAGACTTAAGGGTTCAATACCGCTTGTGAGCGTGAGATCATCGACAATTCTCATAGCTCGTCGTCGCAACGAGTCGAAAGGTTCAAGTTGGTATTTAGGTGCTCCGGCCCATAAGTGACAGCAATACTCCATGTGGGGTCGGATTTGCGATTTCTAGAGCATTAATCGCTGATCTGCTCTATTGAGCACACCGAGTTTTTTGGATGCCAGCTTCACCTTATCTTCGAGGTGGCCACGGAATTGTACATCACTAGAGATGTCGACACTAAGGATCCCAATGCTTCTAGAGATGTTAAGAGACGTGCCTTGAAACTGTGGAGCTACAGCAAATGGGATTTTCTTCTATTTTAGCAAGTATAAAATCAACAAAACATAATGTCACATAACTCGTCTATAAAATGACTGAGGAGATTTTACTGGCGATTGAACAGTTTATAACGATATTACTCACATATCGGATACTTTGGAAATAAATGATCGTAGTCGTAACATTTTTATTACGTATGGTAGAAATATGGATAGTACAGAATTCAGAGTATCATAAGTCTTTTATGACTGAATTATCAGCAGTCTTATCTCATTGTTACAGACAAAAACACAAAGTTAGCTAAGAGAACAAAAATATTAAAGTTCTCTAAAGACAATTTTTAAATATTTAAAAATAAAGTACAACATTTATGTATATAAATATGTATAAAATGTTTTAAGGTGTTCAGTCTGTCATATGTACCAATATTACATTTGTTTGTTAATAAAAGATTAAGTAAGATAAATATGTACAATAATGGAAAAATAAAAATAAACTCAGTAAATTATATGTAAGCTCATAAATCGAGGATTTTGCAATCGAATAAAAATTGCCTATACAGTCTCAATACATAATCGAATTGTTCAGTGAAGTAGCAAGGCCAGCTTTGCATTTCATATTCCATAAAAGAGAGCCATGAAATTATTTTTTAGCAAACTCAGTAAAAATGTAAATTTGATATTCGACTCAATTTATTAAAGTAGATATTTACTTACATAATAGGAAACTTTATAAAATTGTTTTCAGTAAAATGATAGTTTTGAGATAATTTAGATATTTAACGAAAACACAACAATTGTTCGGAGGATAATAAATAGTACGAAAATATCGTTGATCAGTAAATTATTTTATAAAATTTCCACAAAATTAAATAAGAAAAACATTGACCCAATTAACATTGCTTAAAAGTCTTTTATAACATAAACATGAATAATTTGGTTATCTGAGAAGTTATTTTAAATAACCTGTATTGTTTTATTTTACAATTATAAAAAAAAAGCGGAGATAATCGGTCGAAAATGATTGGGAGAGGGATGGTATTTTTATTACATAAGTAAAAACTATACAGTATTTAACTACTTCTTTCAAAATGATATTATTAGTAGTTGCTGAAATATAGCGCTATGTTTTCATAGAATGGCTAAAGTGGCATCATAAGGGTTCCTTTGTACTTTTATGTTACGGTATCCTAAAAATCGAGGTAAATATGTAACAAAGTATGCAACTATGTAGCTATATAACGAAACTCGTATCACGAGTGGGGAATTTTCTCAATTGTCGTCGCCAACCGCCTAATGCTGATTATTTTTATACAGGTATAAAAGTGCTGACTGATATCAAGCAAATCAAAATCACTCCATTCGCTGCCTCGCAATCACGAGGGATCCACTGTTTCCACGATCCGTTAGACAGTACCCCAATTTGCAACGAAATTTACATCACTCGAGTTGTGAAAAAAGATGGAAATATATTTATTATTTGGCCGGGTCAAGGACTTGATTATGCTTCGCTATGTTGTTTTCGTAATGAATGGAACGTAAAGCTTTATACCTGCGAGTTGAAAAATGAATATCTCTTTTTTGAAAGAGAGAAAGATGATTTTTTTTTAATATGGACTTATAAAATTACGCCTAACTAGCAATTTTTCATGAATATTCACGTGGAAGCTTATTAGAATAAATAGTATATAATTATTTAAAAATATAACATATGGATACCTTAATTTACTAGAACAACAATTAATTCTAGAAACCTATTGATTCAATGGAAATAAAATGAACATAAATACGTAAGTGTTTAAATAATTTGTAATGGTTTGCTAAAATACTATAATTGTATATTGTTGTTGAATTAAGTACGCAGAAATTGTACGTAAAAATAGAATTACAGCAGCAGGAAAAAATATCTAAACAAATAATAAAGCGTATTTCCTGTTTGCATCATAAAAGAGTCATATCGGCAATACAGAACTGGAGATGATCATAGCGCAGTTTAGAGAAAATAACACAAACAAAAGTAGAAGAAAATATTGAACAAGATTTCCTCGGGGGATTGAAGTCGTCCTCACTAAAATTGGATGGTAAACTGAAGACACAATAGGTTTTATTCTTTTTTACCTTACTCCGTCGAAGGGAAAAATCCTTTTCATCGCATGATCATCAATCAAGATTTATTTGTGTAATTTGCTTTTCAATACACGAACCATATTCAATACTTCCCTCGCACAGGTAAAAAAATATTGCTTTCCAAAACTTTCTTTGTAAGAATATCTATTGGAAGTGTATTTTGTTTTGCCACGTTGTTTGAATTTTTACCTCACAGGTGTAAATATTGTCTTTTGTATCTATCTCGGAAGTGAACAAAGGAAGTTGTTTTTTTCTAGTAACTTGAAAGGAAATGTATATGTGTATATATAATGCATGTAGTCTAATATTACAAATAAAATAAAAATACACGTCAATATTTTAAACCAATTGCACGTACCTATATCTTTTGATTTTTGATAGTTATCTATGTGACAGAGATTTACAAAATTTTGATAAAAAATGACTAAGTTTATTAAGATTTTATAACAATGACTTTTTATAAAATGGTTAGACAATTGGTCAGTAATAGTAGCAGATTATTGATTTTTTTTTATCAGATTGAAATTATCTTAATAGATTCATATAAATATTATAATAGTACGAAAAAATATTATATACGGAAAGATATTTGTAATATAATCAAGTTTAAATGGATAAACTTTAAAATAAAATTATTATTCTGTTACAATAACTTTTTGTGTACAATAAAAAATAAATTGTGATTAGGTGTTTTGAAATTTTAGTATTTGGTGATAAAATATTTCATTTTTTTGATAATAAAATAGAAGAATAGTAATGATTAAGTTAAACTTATGAAAAAATAAACTTAATGTCAAACACCGCATAAAGCAGTTTTAGAATATAAAATTGTCAGTATGAAATTGTCATCTTGCCTTTATATTTTATTTTGATATTGTTTTTAAATATGATTTTTGTAATTATGCTTTAATTTTTGTTCTAAATATGTCACAAGAAATTAGAAAAATATATTCAAATATTCACGGAAGATCTTCGTCGGCAACCATTGATAAAGGTAGAGTGACATACTGTACTGATTTGGAGAAATCTGTAATTATAAGCAATTTTGAACGTCGAGGTTGGATACAAGTGGCTCCAGATGACGAGTGGAATTTCTATTGGGCCTTCACGCAAAATTGTAGGTCTATTTTCAGTATCGATAGCGGATATAGAATGAACGATAATCAAATGATAAATCACTTTCCCAACCATTACGAGTTGTCCCGGAAAGATTTATTGGTGAAAAACATCAAAAGGTACAGAAAGGAACTTGAAAAGGAAGGCAATCCTTTGGCAGAAAAAACCGAAGTACCACTGCTTAATGGCCAAGTAGTCACTCGCTACGTTCACCTTGATTTTATACCGGTTACTTATGTTTTGCCAGCCGATTATAATATGTTCGTTGAAGAGTATAGAAAATCTCCACAAAGTACTTGGATAATGAAGCCGTGTGGAAAATCTCAGGGCGCGGGAATTTTCTTAATAAACAAACTTTCCAAACTGAAGAAGTGGTCTCGGGAAGCGAAAACACCATTTCACCCTCAACTCAGCAGTAAAGAAAGTTATGTAATATCGCGTTACATTGACAACCCTCTCTTGATCGGTGGCAAGAAATTCGATCTGAGACTATATGTCTTGGTAACATCATTCCGACCGTTGAAAGCCTATTTATTTCAACACGGGTTTTGTAGATTTTGTACGGTAAAGTATGATACAAGTGTAACTGAATTGGATAATATGTACGTACACTTGACAAACGTAAGTGTACAGAAACATGGCGGAGACTACAATAGTCTACATGGTGGAAAGATGAGCGTTCAAAATTTAAAATTATTTTTGGAAGGGACTCGTGGACGTAGTGTGACAGAAAAATTATTTGCAGAAATGCAGTGGTTAATTGTTCATTCTTTAAAAGCTGTATCTCCAGTAATGGCAAACGATCGACATTGTTTCGAATGCTACGGTTATGATATAATCATTGATAATATGCTGAAGCCTTGGTTAGTAGAAGTAAATGCTTCTCCATCATTACAATCAACGACCCACAATGATAGAATATTGAAACATAAGTTAATTGATAATATTGTATCAGTAGTTGTACCTCCTGACGGTATACCTGATGCAAGATGGAATAAGATCCCTGATGCTGATGCATTGGGAGATTTTGAACTTTTGATCGATGAAGAATTAATGGAAAAAGAAGATTTAAGTTCGCGGTATAATAAATATCACCGTTTCAAACTATAATACCGTTTGGGGTTTGTTTATATTCAATATATTTTTGCTTTAAATTAAATATATACACTTATTATGCATTTTTTAGTCGTATTAGTTACATTTTACAATAACTCTAAAAAATATGTTCAGTAGATATTAAGGGTATAAGCTTTATTTGAAACGATTACATAATACTTTATTTTTTCTCTCTATGAGTTTTAGATTTTCTTTGTACACAGAATCTTCATCAATAAGTACTCTAAAATCCCCTATAGCTTCAATAATGGGTGGTTTATTTCAACGAGCGTCCGGAATTTCATCAGGGGGGAGTACTACAGATAAAATGTTTTCAAGCAGTTTGTATTTTAATATTTTGTCGTTAACAGTGGTAGTGGTCATTGAAGGGGACGCATTAACCTCGATTAGCTAAGGTTTCAAGTTGTCATCTATGATAATATCATAGCCATAACATTCAAAGCAATGACGGTCATTTGACATTACAGGTGCTACGGCCTTTAATGAGTGTACTATCAGCCACTGTATCTCCTCGAATAAACGTTCAGTGGCTTCATGACCTCGAGTACCTTCTAAATATAGCTTTAAATTTTGTATACCTAATTTGCCTCCATGTTGGCTATTATAATCTACTCCATGTTTTTGCACACTAACATTTATTAAGTGAACATACATATTGTCGAGCTCAGTTCCATTAGTAGCATACTTCATTGTACAAAATCAACAAAATCCGTTGCGAAACATATAAGCTTTTAAAGGTCGAAAAGATGTAACAAGAACGTAAATCCTCAAATCGAATTGCTTTCCTCCGATCAGAAGTGGGTTTTCTATATACCGTGATAGTTACTACTAACTTTCACGGTATATAGAATGTATCTTTGCTAGTCAGATGGTGTTGGAAATATTTTTTTGATTCGCAATACCATTTTTTTTATTATGACAGCTTATTGATAAGATTAATTTCAACACCCTGGGATTTGCCATATGGTTTTAATATCCATGTAGTTTGTGGAAATTTACGATATTCTTCAAGGAACATATTGTAATCTGAGGGTAACACAAATATCAAAGGTATTAAATCTAGATATAAATATCGACTGATAACCAGACCACTTGGAAGTTTGACTTCATTTTATTCTGCGAGAGAATTGCCATCCTTTTCTATTTCTTTACGATACCTTTTAATATTTTTCACCAGTAAATCTTTGCGAATCAGTTTGTAATGATTTGGAAAGTGGTTGATTAACTGATTATCATTGAGTCTGTAACCACTATCTATAGTAAATAAATTGCGACAATTTAACGTACTAGACCAATTAATGTTCCAGTATCCATCAGGATTTACTTGTTTCCATCCTCTTTTTTTAAAGCTATTGATAACTATTAATTTTTCAAAATTAGTGCAGAAACGTATACTTGTATATCTTGGGCTTAACGGAGTATTTAGTATCCGACCATATATCCTAAAAGATGACTTTTTACTGTAAGATGCTATAGTTTAATTATTTATTAGCAAGCATTGAAGGGCAAAAAATACATTAGTCAGGATTCATAAATATTTACCATTTCTATAAAGCTATGAAATTGAGAGATTTGTTTATTTTGACAAGTTAGATATCTTCACTGATTAACATAAGAAATATATAAAGTATTTCTTGTCATAAAATTAGAAAAACATACTTTCTATATTAAAATATGATATTGTTTTTTATTTCTTTATATTCTTATTTAAGTGTTCAATAAAAACAGCATCTAATGTTATTATGTATGTGAAAGAGTTGCTGTTAAATCGTTAACAATAACCTTTATAATTTATGGATATTGTATCCGCTGTTATCCTCGTCGGCTAGAGTATGGAGATTATACTTGCTTTTGCATACATATCATTTATTATTAACAATATCGCGCACTTATTTCTCTTAAATTTAAGGCAATAGGTGCCTAAGAGCATTGTTGCATAATGTTGTTCTACAATGTGTAACGGTTCGTCATTTGTGTAAAAATACATTTAACGCCATCTTGTGGAGAGGTGTTGAACTTGCAAGAAATTTAAATAATAATATTATAATAAATAAATTAATATTTTAATGTTTACAGAAAAATGTATAACGCTAAAAAACGATTTAACAAAATTAATACTATATGAACGTTCATCTAATATTAATTTATGATATTTGATATTGATGCATTGTTAAATAGATGTTCAAAATGGTTACGGTAACCACTTATCATCAGGTGGGCCGTATGCTTGTTTGCCACCTCAGTGGTATAAAAAAAATTGTACGTCGTCATCATTATTATCCATTGACTGAATTAATAAAACTACTATTTTCATATGAAAATCGTATATGTTACAAAATGTATAAATTAGAATATTTAATAAATTTTAAGTAGGATTTAGTGAACTTATAGGCATACAATTAAGACTTAAAATTAATTATTTCTCTGTCAAATTTTACAGAAGAATAGGGAGTTTGAAATATATTCTACATTTTGGCGTGAAGAGGGCGCTTTGCGTGAAGCAGTTGTGTTTGCATGGCTGTGTTTCGGTTTGAAGGGTGGGATATGGCGTGAATTTACTGGGTACAGAGGAATAACACCTGAGTCCTCAGGAATGGCAACGCATGGGGGGTATCATGGGCGAAACAGTATACTCTGTTATGTCCATGGTACTGCTCATGTCTATAGGCGACGGTTACCACTTTCCATCAGGTGGGCCGTCAGCTTGTTTGCCATTCTAAGTTATATAAAAAAAAAAAAAAAAAAAAAAAAAAAAAAAAAAAAAAAAAAAAAAAAATTAATAGAAATTCATTGATTATAAGATATTATTTTATGATAAAAGTTAGTAATAAAATAAGAAAGCATTATAGTGAAAATATAATTACTTAACTTTAAAAAGAATAATCTATTTAATCGGACACTAAATTTACTACCACAGATAAACTGTCAATTCATAATGATATTTTATGTACGTAGGCGGGAAGAATTTAAATTTATCTCCTGACAAGGTAAAGTAATGAAAGATTGCATGTCTATCTGGTGCAGAAATAATGAATGTTATCGTAGATTAAAATTTATATTATATATTTCATAAATTTGATAAAACTATGATATTAGTATATGTTTTGATTCTGAATGATTGTATTTAGGAATAATACAATTATAATTTATGAAGGTAGTTGGATGATATGGTATTTTGGCGCGAGCCAATAGAAAGAGAGCACATAGGTAACCTAAAGTGGGGATAACCAATAGGGATGAATTGAATGAAGTTTTTGGAAATTGGAGGGAAAATGAACTAAGGATAGAGTGATGAAGGAATGTAGTAGAACGAACGAGTGGAGACCTTATAATAGAGCTTGAATGGAGGGGCTCGCGCTCTTTTCTTATGCGGCGCGCTAGCAGCAAAAATTAGAAGAACACTCATCGGGTCCGTGAAGAAGGCTCCCATTCGTGCTGGTCGAGACTCTGCCCGATTCGCTTGGTTCATTTATTTTAAAATTTATAGTGTAAAATTTAATTAAATTCGGGAGTGAATCGCGAGTGACTCCTGGTTGGCGCGGGTTTTTGATTTCTGGTAGCTGATTGGCGTGTAGCAGGTTCGAGGTTAGCGTAATCCAGTGAGTTCGCTCCGTTTTCTTGACTGTACTAATCTATATTATTTCCTCGTGTTTTCAGGATATTTAGAATAGGATTCGGTCAGCTTAGAGTAGTTTAAATTCATTATTATCAAATTTAAATTTTAATAATTTAAATTCAATTTTGCATTAGATATAAGAATAGCTAGGTTTTTAATAGGGTTTTCAACTAGCAAAGATTCAATATTTCAATGAATTGAGAAGAACTTTTATCATTAGATTTAGCGAATAGCTAGGTATAGTTTTGCAAATAATAAATTCAGAAGGTGTTTAAACATTAATAAATTTTGTTAAATAATTTAGAACTAGCTAGGGTTTTGCTAGGGATTTCAGCTAGCGTAGGAGAACATTTAAGATATTAAAACATAAACTGATTAAAGAAATAATGTTAATAAAAATGGACGAAGCAGATAATCCACAATCAATAATGCTTTGTGTGACCTAAATAATTATTAATTGTATGCTGAAAATAACATTATTGTTATTTTCAGCATCTATTTGTTCTTTCAGCATTTACTTTAACTAATTAATTCTAATTCAGCAATATAATTTTATGTGCATGTGTTTACCTATAAGTTCTCTATTTTATCATTTAAGTTTACTATATTCATTTTTAAATTTTATGTGTATGTATGTATTATTTTTCTTATTTCATAATTTGGTTTATCGTGTTGCTTTGATATTAGAAACGATTCGTAATACTCTGAGATCAGGACTCCTTTAATCCGTCTGTGGGACAATTGTTGCTTTATATAGTGGCTTATTGTCATACAGATGCGTTGTTCTAAGCCTGGTTCAACGTCAGAGTATGGTATAGGGAACAATTAGCGATCTGTAACATTCTTAATTATATAAAGGCTAATTATGTACCTAATACCTTTATGAAGTTTCAGCTAAATCAACTGATCTGTCATTTTATAGCATTTCATATGCAATTATTTAGATTGAAATAACTTTTTTATTTATGAACCGATTGAATTAAAACAAACACTAAATCTAGTAAACTAATTTGCAATGTACTAGTGAAAGCCGCGTTTAAATCGGTTAAGCCGTTTCTAAGATTATCGTGCACAAACGAACGAACAAAAGTTCTGAAAAATTGTTGTTTTGGTTTTATCATATTCATAAATATAATTTCTTATATTTACGTCTTCCATGTACTGACGGCGACTAGTTGCAATTTTATTACATGTATTGATTGCGAAGCTAACTTTAGCGAATCATTTTGCTATGTACGTTTTACATATTAACTAAGCCGATTTCATTGATTTTTCTATTTAGTTATTATAGTAATGCGTTAATTATTAGGTAGACTTGACATTTCTTTACTTAAACATTATTAGCTCATTATCCAAATAAGCTGAATTCTAAGCAAACTTTATCACATAAATTTATCTAATCACTGCGTCATATATACTAACTTAACCGTTTCTAAGTAG